ACCAGGGCTCTCACTGAGCCACAGGTGGGTCCAGTCACCACCCTTTCAGTTCGCAGCTGAGCACTTAACCAGGACTCCTTATATACTGCTTAGGTGAGGAGAATAAAGACAGGAATTGAAATGAAAGGAGCTACAGCCTCTGCTCTGACAACAGGAAATGTTGTTGTGAGGTGCTGTCAAGGTGATTCTGACTTATAGCGATCCCGTATAGGGTTTCTGAGGAGCAGCTGGTGGATTTGAACTGCTGACCTTGTGGTTAGCAGCCCAGTGCTTGTTCCCACACTGCCACACATTTGTGGCGGTGGCGTGCCATCATAACGACCCTGCACAGGGTTCCGAAGGCTGTAAATTGGTACGGGAGCAGAAAGCCTCATCTTTCTCACATTGAACAGTTGGTAGTTTCACACTACTGATCTTGAGATTAGCAGCCCAACTCCTAGTAGGAATTAGGAAAGTTTTATTCAGAAAAGAATAGTGTTTTTGGCATACTTTGTATCCAATCCAATGTCAAATGAGGGGGTGGATTAAATAGTGTCTCTAATGTTCTCTGCTTTAAGATTCTAAAGTTTTTAAGAGAGGTCAGAATGAAGATTTGATTATATTACTTAGGTTCATTCTTACTGACTCTAAAAATTATTGTGAACTTTATGCTGTTTGCTATACCCCGGGGGCATCAGTAAGTTCATGGAAAAATGAAATGAAAAGACAATGGCAATTTCCACAAGTATTTTGAAACCCCCCCTCATATTAAAATAACTACATAACTCTACAGGTTAAGAAAGTGGATCGATCATCGATTATAGTATAATACCTTGTTTGGGGGAATTTTGACTTTGGTTTACTATAATTCTAATAGAAAGTAGATTTTAACTTATTATGACAAACCCAGAATACACAGGGTAAATCACTTGTTCCTGGTAGTCTCCTAGTTCTCAGTAAAAATAAAATACAGAATTAGTTTAAAACAGTGTAACTTTCCAGCAAACCAAGATAAACTGACATGCTAACGATACCTTTGTGTCCTATCTAGGGGTAGGATAAAGAGGAGAGATTGAGCCAAACCTAGAAATCTGCCTTTCAGAAGAAAAAAGTAGTTTGGATTTGTGATCAGGAGAGAATAGACCCGGAGAAGGACATCTTACTTGGTCAAGCAGAGAGTCAACAAAACAGAGGAAGACCCTCAACGAGATGTTGACACAGTGGGCTCAAATGATGATGAGGACGGTATAGGACTGGGCAGTGTTTCATTCTGCTGTGCATAGGGTCACTATGAAGCAAAACTCACATGTGGCACTTTACAACAACAACAAGAAGATCTGTAAGGTCCATGGGTAGTGCAAACCCTTTATGCCTGGCTACTCGTCCAAAGGCTGGTGGCTTGAACGTACCCAGCAGTGTTACAGAAGAAGGCTGACAATCTGCTGTTGTAAACGCAGACATTGAAAACCTGTGGAGCGCAGTTGTACTCACACGCTGAGTTGAGTTGATGTCAGTGGTTTGTTTTTGTGTGTTTGTGTACATCATGCCTTGGGAGGCTCCCTTGGCACAGCTGTGATATTTATTTCTGGTCCATCTTGAAGGATGCTCAGTTGTCATGGCACACTGGTGTATCCTCTGCCCATCCCACCCCCAAAGCTTTAGTTAGATTATCCCGAACTCCCTTTGGATTTCCATCAAAGCGGGTTATTATCCATGGTCATTTTCCTGTTCTTTCTGCTGAGTAGGACAAGTTTTCTAACATTCAGATACAGAGCTGAAGTCTTTGCCTTAAAAAAAAAAAGAAAGTAGCTAAAGGTGATGACTCAAATTTTCAATGTTGAGCAATCCAAAGTTTGTTGCCTTTAAAATGAGAGATTCTGTGAAAGATCCAGGCTTCTGAAGGAATCAAAGACAAGCCAAGTAGCGAAGCGGGTTCCCACTCACAGCAATCCTATCAGATCGAGTAGAACTGTCCCGTAGGATTTTTCTAGACTAAATCTTTCTACTTCTTCCTCTGAATGAGCAGTCAAGTGCTTTAACTACTGTGCTTTCAGGACTCCTTGCTGTATCTGTGGATTTGTTTTTGTGTGTGTCGTCTGAGATTCAACTCAGCCCTGCTTTTTTGGGACCAGCATTTTATCATCTGAAATCCCTGAGCCGTGAAGGGTGCTTGCAGTTGCTTCTCCACGAGGCATTTCATGACCCATGTTCTGAAACATGATGATGGGTTAGCATGACCTTCACACAGCTCTCTTTCGTTCCAGGGAGATCCAGCTGCTCTGTGAATCACAGAAGGCAGTGAGCATTTGAGGGTGCTAAGTGGCATTCTTCAGTGATCTGGGTTTCTCTGAGAAGCTGGTTGTGAGGTCGGCTGTGGCCCACTTGTCATTGTTGCTAACATGGTAGTTGTACCTCAGGAATAAGGTAGAGCCCGGTTTGGCTGAGTGTGCCCATCATAGCTGCCAGCACATGGCTAGATTGGAAACTGAAAGAAAGACTTCTCTAATGCTTTGCGACTGGAAACCATAAAAACTGCTTAGTTTAAAATTCTACTATATATATCTTTTTGGTTGGTGAGTTTGGAATGCAAAGTTTAACTTAAAATTTTCATATACAGCACTTAGCCCCCTTAATCTGTGGGTGTATGTTTCAAGACCTTCAGTGAAAGCCCGAAACTATGAATAGTACTGAACCCTATATATATTATGTTTTTTCCTATACGTAAATACCTTGGATAAAGTTTAATTTATCAGTTAGGCACAGTAAGAGATTAACAATAATAACTGGTGGGCGGGAGTGTATACAGGGTGGGTATACCAGACAAAGGGGTGATTCACGTCCTGGCTGGAAGGAGGAGGAGGGTGCAAGATGACGTTACTGTGGTTCTGGGGATAGGCACTGGACTGTTAGTCTCAAGGTTGACGGTTTGAGCCCACCAGCTGCTCCCTGGGAGAAAGATGACGTGTTCAGCACTTAACAATAAAACAGTGACTTGTGTAACATTTTCAGATGGTGGGTAACTGAAACCGCAGGAACCATACGTAACTGTGGGTGAGCGAAGACTACCGTAGTCACCTGCACCCTGTTAAGTGCTCAGTCTTCCTTTACTGAGTGTCTTTCTTAGGAAATTTTACCATCACAGCCTTTAAGAAAAATGAACATCATTTTACTTCTTTCTTATCCCCTGAATGGGAACACAGGGTGCAAAAACTCTTAGAAAGGATAAAACCATAACAACATAATAGGTGTGTTGATTTGTTGATGAAATGTTTTTAAAATCCTGAACATTTTCATGAAACCTGGCTGCTGAAGGTGTACTTTTCCTTAACTACTTCTTCCCCTCCCATTTAACATTTAAATGATTCTGCAAAGTAGCTTGGCTTAGTAAGACGATTCTGGCTAGAAATTGACATTGAAGGAACAATTGATACTTACCGGATTACAGGTGGCTTACCTTTTAGTGTAGATTTTGCAGTCCCCACCTCCTCTCTCACGCTGAGGTCAGTTTTAGGATCATAGAATTGGCGTCTTCACCCAGCTCTTCAGGGCTTTCTTTCCTCGGCTCCATTCTTACTGTGATTTCGCACTGACCTCTCCTTATGGAATGCCTGTGCCCCCAGATCCAGACCTCCTCCCCATCTGAGTGCTCCTGGTGCTGAAGGTGTTACCTAATCGCAAACCAGACACCACCTCAGCAGATGCTCCTCCTGGTAAATCATGAAAAGGAGCAACCTAAGAACAATGTCAAGCTCACCAGCTGCTCCTCAGAAACTCTAGAGAGGGTTGCTATGGGTCAGAACCGACTCCACGACATTTAACAAGAACAACTAGTATGAACCTCAAATCATAACTTTTGGTGTGTCTTTCCAGGATTTCGTTACTTTCCCTGACACTGCTAGGTCACAGGTTGACACATGTATTTAGTTTCACACATGGTGTATTCTAGGAGGCACTGGGGAGTTACACTGTCTATAGTAGGTGTGCGGTGTCTTTGAAGTTGTCTGTGGGTCTCATTCACCGTGCTCCTACTGAGGGGTGGAGTGGGGCAGATGTTTCATGGAGCTGACGATGGATCCATTTCCGTTTCTTCCTTGTCGTCTACTTCAGTCTCTGTACCAACACCCGCATTTTGTTCTGTCACCATTTCCTGAGGGAGTAGGATTCTTCAGGGTTCCTTCCAGAGAACCAAGCTCAGAGCTGGTGCTGCTTCCTGCCTTTAGCTGGTTTCTTGGAGGATGATATGTTACTGTTACTTGTGTTTTCTTTTGTTCTCTGGCAAACTTTCAGTTTTTTACCCTCTTCTGATGCTTAAAACATTAAACAAAAAATTCATTTAAGGTAGGAAAGGTACCATCATCCTTTATGAATAACAACAACAAAAAGGATTGTTGTTGTTGTTATGTATTGTGGAGTCAGTTCCAACTCATAGTGACCCTGCACAGGGTTTCTGAGGCTGTAAATCTTTACTGGAGCAGAAAGCCTTATCTTTCTCCCGCGGAACAGCTGGTAGTTTCAAACTGCTGACCTTGAGGTTTGCAGCCCGATTCATAACCACTGTGCTACCAGAGCTCCCTACAAAAAGGATTACCTGAGGTTACATTGGAGACTTGGTGTGGCGCTATAGGATAAGCACTCGACTGCAAGGTTGGTGGTTCAATTCACCAGCCGCTCCTTGGAAATCATACACAGGATCTCTATGGGTCAGAATTGACTTGATGGCCTTTAACAACAACAAAAAGAAGGATAAAATGGATTCTTTCTCATTTCACTTAAAAAAGCTTGCAATTTCAGTGTTACTACTTTTGTGTGTTTTGACCTGAAACAGCTCCTCCGCTTATCTAGAGATTTTCTAGCATTTTGTCACTGGCTTTTCTGTATTTGTCACTGTTTACCATTTATGCGCATTTTCAGAGATCGTGTTCTTTAGATATGTTTGAGGCTGTACTAAGGTCTACAGATTGTAGACTTTAAGTTTTACAGCCATGGTCTTGATGATGGTTTTATTTCTCTTTCCTACCTAGGATGGTGATAGAGACATTTTTATTGATGGCGTTGTAGCACGTAATCGAGCCTTGAATGGGGACCTGGTGGTGGTGAAACTGCTTCCCGAGGAGCAGTGGAAGGTGAGTTCAGTTTTCTTTCCCAAATCACTGCCCAACCACAGAATCATGGCCTCGCCAAGTTTACACATAACCTTTAACCATCATAGACAAGCTCTTGTCTCACAACTTTGTGTTCCTTACTCCCAAGACGTATGTGGTTAGTGCACAAAATAGTCAGGTAGATTCGTTTACTATTGTCATGAATGTGAACTGTCAGGTAAACTAGATCATCAATAAATGAATTGATGTTGTTAAGGGATATCGTGTTGGTTCCAAGTTATAGCGACCTTGTGTAGGGTTTCCCAAGAGCAACTTGTGAGTTTAAACTGCTGACCTTGTGGTTCACTGCCAGTACTCACCTTATAGCACCACATCTAGAATTACACAGGACTAGAACAGCCCAAACAAAGAAAAACAGTTGGAAGACTTGAACAGCACATCTTCAAGACTTACTCTAAAGTTCTGGTGATCCAGACAGTGTAGTGTTGTTATCAAGATAGATATATAGATCCTTGAAATAGAACTATTGTTACTGTTGAGTGAGTTCCAACTCACAGTAACCCTGTTCAGGGTTTCTGAGAAGTGACTGGTGTGTTTGAACCACCAACCTTACAGTTAGCAGTCCAATACTTAAAACTACAGTACCCTGCCAGGACTTCAGAATGTTGTTGTTGTTAAGTGCCATCGAGTTGGTTCTGACTCATAGTGACTCTGTATAGGGTTTCCAAGGAGTGGCTGGTAGATTTGAACTGCAGACCTTGCAGTTCAAACTGACCTTGTGACCCAGTGCTTATCCTACAGTGCCACACCAGGATTCCAGATTGTTGTCGTTGTTGTCAGGTGCCATCGAGTCGGGACCGACTCATAGCGACCCCATGCACAGCAGAACGAAACAATGTCCGATCCTGGGCCAACCTCACTACCGCTGCCACACTTGACGCCATCAATGATGCCACCTGACCAATCCATCTCGTTAGGGGTCTTCCCCTTTTTCTCTGACCCTCCACCCAACCCAGCATGACATCCTTCTCCAGCGACTGTTCCCTCCGGACAGTATGTCCAAAGTATGAGAGACGAAGCTTAGCCATCCTGGCCTCCAAGGAGCACTCTGGCTGCACTTGTTCTAAAACAGATCTATTGGTTCTTTTGGCAGTCCATGGCCCTTTCAGTATTCTCCTCCAACACCACAACTCAAAGGCATCGATTCTTCTACGATCTTCCTTATTCACTGTCCAGCTTTTGCATCCATATGAGGCTATTGAAAATACCATGGCTTGGGTCATGCGCACCTTAGTCCTCAAGCTGACATCTCTGCTTTTCAATACTTTAAAAAAAGTTCCTGTGCAGCAGATTTGCCCAATGCAATACGTCGTCTGATCTCTTGACTGCTGCTTCCGCGAGTGTTGATAACACTGAGAAGTATGACTATTCCAGAACACTTAATTGTACTTCTGAGAAATCTGTACCTAGACCAAGAAGCAGTTGTTTGAACAGAGCATGGGAACACTGAATGTTTTAAAATTGGGAAAGGTGTGCGACAAGGTTGTATTCTTTCACCATATTTATTCAACCTGTATGCTGAGCAAATAATACGAGAAGCTGAGTTCTATGAAGAAAAATGTGGCATCAGGATTGGAGGAAGACTCATTAACAACCTGCGACATGCAGATGATACAACCTTGCTTTCTGAAAGTGAAGAGGACTTGAAACATTTACTTATGAAGATCAAAGAGCAGAGCCTTCAGTATGGATTGCATCTCAATGTCAAGAAAACAAAAATCCTCACCACAGGATTCCAGAATAGGAACTCCGAAATAGACCCAGGTATATAATGGGAATCCTGGTGTGGCGCTGTAGGATCAGCACTGGACTGGAAACAACGTTGACAGTCCACATCCACCAGGTGCTTCTTGGAAACCCTGTAAAGGGTCGCTATGAGTCGGAACTGACTCAACAGCACTTAACAACAGCAGCAAATATGATTAGTCGGCTCTCTGCGAAGGTACTGAGGTAATCCATTGGGGAAAGGAAGATTTTTTTCAAGCAGTGTACTGTGATAATTGAGTAACCATATGAAAAAGAACGAACCTGGTCCCTACCTCATACTGTATACAGAAATTCCCTTGAAATGGATCATAAACCTAAATTTTTGTGTAAAAAGAAGCTACAGGAGAAAATTTTCGTTGCTTGAGATTTGGCAAAGATTTCTTAAGTGTAGTATAGCATGGTAGGAATGAAGTATAAAAGACAATACGAATCTGTTAGGCTTCTTTTGGTTTTAAGTAGACACAGTTACAAAATAAAAGGCAAGCCACTGACTAACTGGGAGAAACGATTTGAAACGATTTGAAAACCATTCATCTGACCATTACCTGAAATAAATAACGAATTTTTAACTTGTTAGTAAGACACACAACCCTCTTTAAAAAGGCATTAAAACTGGAACATGTTACTAATGAGTCTGTGTGGATAGCACATAAATACATGTAACGATGTTCAACATAGTTAGTTATGAAGGAAATACAGGTCAGAAGCATCACAAGCCACTCAAATGACTAAATTTTAACAGACTAACTAGACCTGGTGTTGGCAGGAAGGAATATAGAGGAACTAGAATTTTTATACTAATGATACGGTCACTTTGGAAAAGAGTTTGTCAGTTTCTCAATAAGTTGCACATTCACTTAACGTATGACTCAGCCATTCCACTCCTTGGTACTTACCCCAGAGAAATGAAAGCATTGTGCACACAAAGACTTTGACAGAAATGATCATAGCAGCTTGATTTGCAGTTGCCACAAACTGGAAACTACCCAGATGCCCACCACCAAGTGAATGGATAAACAAATTGTGGTATGTGCATACAATGAATGTTTTAATTCAATGTTAAAAATAATTCAACTATTGATACATGCCACGATGTGGATACGTCATTTCAAAAGACTTAGGATGAGTGAGAAAAGCCAGACAGAATTGGATTGTAGCCAGGTTGTTGCTGATAAGTGCTGTCGAGTCAGTTCTGACTTATAGTGACCCTGTATAGTGTTTCTGAGGAGCAGTTCAGAGTGGGTTTGAACTGCCAACCTTGCAGTTAGCAGTCCAGTGCTGGTCCTACAGCACCACACCAGGACTCCTTGTAGCTGGGTGGGCACAAGGGGCTTGGGAGGCCAGTTAGAATCCAGGAGTTTGGGGAGAGGGTTTTATTCATCCGGGAGGTTTGCAGAGCAAAGCTGAGAGCTGCTAAGTTTCCTGTCTTTGAGAAAGGTGGGTTCCTAAGGGATACTTTTTCAGAATTAGGGCCAGTTCTGTCAGCCAGTGCTTGTCAGTCTTTAATCTGAAAATGATTGGTCTTCATTTTGTTAAGATGTAAATTCTAACTCAATAGGTCTGAGATGGAGCCTGAAATTGTGCGTTTCCAACAATTTCCCCAGGAGGCAAGGCTGCTGCTGGTTGGGAACCACATTCTGAGTAGCAAGACTGTAGACTGACTTCCACTGGAGAGTCAGGAGGCGTGAAGAGAGGACCCTCATCAGAGATCTGGTTAGCAGGCAGATAGTTGAGCGGTAATGTGGACCTTAACTGTGTGGTTTGGCCAGGAAAAAAAAGCAAAGAACCAACCCAAACCCACTGCCTTGGAGTCGATTCTGGCTCATCACAATCTTGTAGGACAGAGTAGAATTGCCCCATAGGGTTTCCAGGGCTGTAAATCTTTATGGAAGCATGCTGCCACATCGTTCTCCCATGGAATGGCTAGTGGGTTTGAACTATTGACTGTCTGGTTAACAGCTGAGCACTTTAACCACTGCACCATTTTGGCTCCTATGATTAAGCCATGAAGTCCTTATAAAAGACTAGATTCTGGGCCCTCTCTACTGACCGCATCCTCTTGAGAAGAGATTGGCACACACATAGAGATGGGCATAGACTGGCAGGAAGACTTTTACCCTGAGGATCATGTAAGGAGATGTCCAAGGGGCAGCCTTGGTGAATGGGGGCACCTCTTCAGTAGCCAGGCAGGCGATCTGGAATGTTGAGGCTGGCCAGGGGCGCCTGCAGCTGCATATTGCTGTTTATGTTGGCGTTGGCCCCGTTAGGTAGGTCTCTTAGGCCTCATCAGTTAAGAATATTTCATAGCTTTGCATTTGGAAGCGGGGAGCTCTGTTAGCTGTTCCCTACCTGTGACAGTGGTTGGTGACAGGATCAAGTTAGGGAGAAGAGAATATTCAGACTGTCATCAAGACTCCCTGACATGCAGAATGTAAACATCTCGAAGCATACTGGCCAATTGTCCGACAGGTCTGCTAGGACAAAAGCAGATTGTTATCCGTGGACTCTGTAGTCAATGGTGTGAGCAAATGGGAATTAATTGGATTCTTCTTCTTTCTGCTTGTTGTGCTAACTCCTCTTGGGTATGTAAACTACAGGGCCTTAGGGGTTTTAGGAAAAAAACAACTGTTCTTTTAGTTATCGTACTAAATAGTCAATTTATTTCACAGCATGTTTTTTTGGCAAGAGATGGCTGTAAAAGTGTCAAGCTGTGAGGCAATAATACAAAATAATGCACTCTTGTATAACACTTTGAATTCCAGAATTCCTCCACATTTGCACTTCTCTGCATATGTCTGTTTTACTGCAGAAATCTAGTGAAGTAGGGTTGAGGGACAGGTGATGCTTGCTTCACTTCGCCCTTTGGGAAATGAGGGTCCTGTGAAAGGAGGTGACTTGTTTGATGATTTGGGGGTTTGGGCAGAATCAGGGGTGGAGTCCAGATCGATTTGACTTTTAGCTTGATCCTCTTATCTTCTGGGGCTCTTTTCCTTTTGGAATGAGTGTGTCTATGTATTCTGTAGACTGAGGGTCTGTGGCTTTGCTCAGATTTTCAAAGGGGCCATGTCCCCAAAATGGTTAAGAACCATTGATCATGTGGCTTCTGCCCAGAGGTGTTTAGACCTGAAGTTTCCCCTCCTCCTTCCCAGCGTCCTGCCTGGGTAGGTCCTGGAGACACTATTGGCACTCTGCAT